TCCCCCGGGGAGGCCCTTTCCGCGGCTCCCCCACCCCCCCCTTCCCCCCGTTTGAGGAAAATAAGGAAAAAAATCCACTAAAAAAATAAAAAAAGGGGGTGGGGGGAGGAATGTGGGGGGACGGTGGCTCCCGCGGCCTGTGGAGAGGAGGAGGAAAACAAAATCGCTGTAAATAACTCCCGCGCCATGGCGAGGATCGTCCGCAGAGGGCTGGCGGCGTGGACGGAGCTGCGGGGAGACCTGCCGGAGCGGAGGAAAATACAATAATAACGACGGCTGAAAATAAACCACAGAAAGACGGAGGAGCAGCGTGTTGAAGCTCGGCTTTCTGCACGGAGTGGATTTCATGCCGAGGGGGGTGCGCGGTGTCTCGGAGGCAGCCTTAAGCCTGGCCATCTTGCTTCTCCGTTGCCTTTTTTTTTTATTTTATTACTAGTCAACGTTTGGAGTTTTCTCTTTTTATTTCCCCCTTTTTACTGTGTTTTCCTTCGTCTGGAGCCGCCCCGGCCCTGAGGATGCTGCGTCCCGCCGAGGTGCGGCAAACGGTGGGAACCGAAGCGCCTGCAGCTGCAAAAACGTGACTCTAAAAATCACACAAATCCACGAAGAAAACGCCTCGCTCCCCGGATCGCCTCCACGCGGCAAGCACTCTGGACTCCTTATTATGTTGTTTGGTTGGTTTTTTTTTTTTCCCTCCCTTTTTTTCGTTGCATAGATTAATCCTGCTCATAAGGAAGTAGTAGCTGTTTGCATGGTTGTATTTTTTTTTTTTCTTCTCCTCCCTTCGTCTTTCCGTGCGGGGAGGAGGAGGCTTCTCCCCCGCCGCCTCAGCAACACCTTTTTCCTCGGGAAATGCTCTCGCACGAAGTTGGTGCCCGGCACCCCACGCTGGAAGCTTTTTTTTAGGGGGGGGGAAAAGAAGGTAACTGGTAACAGGGTGGCTGCTCAGCTCATAGTTGTTTTAACCACCACCCCCCAAAAAAAAAAAAAAAGGATTTTGAAGCTTCCTTTTATCTTCCTGCGTTGGAAAAATTACGGAGCGTCCTTAATAATGAGTCACCATGGGAAAAATAGATGCGGTGACATTGGGGGGG